TATATATTAATTTATGCATCTATCTATCTATCTATCTATCTATCTGTCTATCTGTCTGTCTGTCTGTCTGTCTATATTGGCGCAATGGGGTGAGAAACAAACTGGAGACTTCAAACGTCCAAGTAGACCAACAAACTCCAAATGATGCACAACAATATGATATTATGCTGTTGCTTATGTAATTATTCCCTTCCTAACAAGCTATTTGCCAATAATCTAGTGCCAAATGGCCAAATCTTTGCCCGTAGTAGTCTAATTTGAAGTAGACTGGCCAGTCAAGTTGTGCATTCTCGTGGGGGGCATTGGGTTTGAAAATCCCCTCCATTCACCTGACTAACGCGATTAGCGTTAAACTGCTTTAGATCAACTGTACCAGCGCTAAAATTGGCATGGGCTGTTACCTGGTGAGAGCCACACGGGATCATACAGAGCCACCAGATAAAACAATAGAATAATCCGCGTGCTTCTGCCTCAAAACAAGACGTGATCTCACAGCCACCCTCGTTCCTTCTCATCTCACGGCAGACACTAACAGCTATGTTTTTACAATGCCAAAGAGTGGTGCATCATTCCCTGCGCGCACCAGCACACGCGTCTTACACAACAGCAGAATTGAATGCCCGATGATGGCAGGTCGAAGACGTCCCATGATGACTGCCGTGCCGTTTATTCACCGAGATGACATTCACCCCTACTCGTGCCAAGGGCATTGCGTGCGTTCAGGTTCTGGTTCCCCGAAACGCCACGCAAAACGACCGTAAACGCGGCGCGCGGCGCACGCAGAGCCCATTTTACCGTGACCTGAGTGTGCGTGGGAAGGTGACTTTCCACACTCCTTACCTAAAATCACTATAGGGGTGAATGATCCAATATCCAGCCGTCTGCACTCTCTCCTGCTCTTTCTCCACGGCTTTCTGACTCCCGAACATCCGCAAGGAGAACTTATTCACGCCGGGCTGCATCATGGCTCCAAATTGCCGCTGCATAAACCCGTGTTGCCTGGACGCGGCGTCTATATCGTCAAACCCGACCATGGCTTCTTCCCGGTCCCCTTTTGCACCCACTGAGTTGCCGTGGTCTTTCATGTTCTGGCTCCCCATGCTGTTCTTCAAGATCGAGTCTTGTCTCTGGAACACATTATTCCCATCCGCTTTCTCCTCTTTGTTGCTTGAGAACGAATTGGATTTGTCTTCCATGGCGGTTTCAGAACGTGCTGTCCCCGGGTGCGGAGGACAGGCTACGCGTAAAAGTCGAAAGGAGCAGCTGGCGGCTCTTCTGTTTCATTGGACGTCCCTCAAACCACCGCTGCCTCCAGTGCGAGTGCTGCTGTACAACTGAGAGGCAGAGTAGTGGTGAACCCGACGGGATCAGCTTTCTTGGGCTGCTGCCATCTACTGTCGGGATTGAGCGCGTCCCGCGGCTCTCCAAGCGTGTCGCGGACGCGGGCACACTGCCATAATGCGCTGCTCCGATATGCGTCCAGACTGAAAGGGTGCCAAAGGAATACGATTTGAACATTATGTTGTAGATGCAAATCAGGGTTATGTAAAGCATTTGGGAAGGGCATGTTTTATTATGAGGTGAATTGAAATGGTAATTATATTATGATAGACTAACATCCCTGTGGTTAAGACTGTCTATAAAATATCATGTGCCATAGGGGTTTGTGGTCTGACAAAATCATACATAGTTTTAAAAAATTGTATACATTTTGTATTATACGTATATTATGTAGATATTTCCCCCACTTTATATTTTAATAACCATAATGCCTGTTTATTTTGAATTTCTATTTTTATTTTATTTTATTTTATATCGAGTTTTTATATCCAGTTTTACAACTCATGGGTATTTAATCTCATTTGACTCTTTTATCTTTTTACTTGATGTCTGCAGACCAACAGATTATTATTTGAACTAAAGTTTGGCATCTGTTCAGAACCAAATTCACATTATGTAACAGATTTAAAAAGAAAAGTCTCTAAACAATACAACTAATATTATAAAACAGCTCTGACTGGATTGACAGTCATAATTATATTATAAAATGAACTTCTATGTGGTTAAAATCTCATGATAAATAGGGGCTTGTGGTACAACAAAATGATTTTTAATGATTTTATACAGGTTTGTATTAACTGAAAGCCAGTTAATTTCCTGCAAATGCAGTAAAAATAATTAACTTTTTTTTAACTGTAGTACATTTATTTTTTATCATACCAGAGCCTTTTTTATCATACCAGAGCCAACAATATTTATACTAACTCTATTCCAAGTGCATAATTAAGGTATATATAGGAAAGAAGAAAGCAAGCAGTATATTGGAGAGAGAAGAGGGATTTTTTTTAACATGTCTTTAGAGAAAGTGCTGTCATTGTAACTGTGATGTAGGTGCACGGTGACAAAAGATTGAAGGTAAGTGACCACGGTATAAACAGTACAGCCAGATCTCTCCCAGTTGATACATTTTTACCATCACATGATAGCTTACATTATACTGTCAGCCCAATAGCTATTTTAAATTCAAGACTGTCAACCTGTAAATATGGTTGCAGGCTCTAAATTCACTGCCAATATAGGGACATTTTGAATCTGAAATAAGAAATGTTGATAAAACAGCTTGAGATATGGCTAACTAATCTTTTCAGGTTTTTAAAACCCGCTTTCATCTGGTTCTTTCAACCATGTGAGAACTGCTCCCTATTTACACTGGAAGCACTGGCCCTGAACTGATCGTTTTCCCAAAATAAAGCTTTTCTTCTGAGTGCTCTGATATTATCTGTGAAAAATGTAAAAAAGTCTACTTTATGGACCCTGCCTAAACTTTTATGATTTAAGTGACGTCATTTAAAGTCATAAAACACAATATTTAAACAAGTAGTATTCAGATTTTGTCTTTCAATATTGGCTCGTCAAATTGATTTCATTTTCTTTACAGTCCTTTCAGGCTGTTCCCAGCTGATTTAGAGAGGAAAATAGAGTTGATGATGATGGTGATGAAGATTTGTGCATGCAGGACAGTTGTGGACAAAAACTGTGAACTGATGAAATCCAGACCAAGTCCACCTGCTACCCTGCCGTCCTGCTGTGATTGTGTGTGTGAGGCTTAAAACCCCACATTTTCCCATTTTGGACATGATGATTTTGAACCTGGTCTCACCAAAGGTAAATCAGAAGCTATGGTAGATTCTGTAAAACTGAGGCAATTTCAGCATATTAACTGCTTGTTTGCAATTTGTATCCAACACACAGAATCCCACTAACAGCATTAAATTAGTAGGTCTACCTACACCATTCCCTTACAATTTGTCATAATAATTTTCACCAAAGTACCCTTATTATTATAATACAACTATTTTTATTACAATAAAACAGTGGTGGATTGCTAGCACTGTCATTAAAATGTTTTGAAAGCTTTATATACTAACATTAAAAAAGTCTGTGGTCAGTAAGATTTTTCTTATGCTCACAATGGCTGCATTTAATTGATCAAAAATACATTAAAATGTAGAAATATTATGAAATATTATTACAATTTAAAATAACTGTTTTCTGTTCAAATATATTTTAATACATAATTTGTTCCTTAGATTGCAAATCTGAATTTTCGGATTCCTTTACTCCAGTCTTCAGTGTCACATAATACTTTATACATAATTTTAATATGCTGATTTGCTGCTCAGGAAACATTTCTTATCATCAGCGTTGAAAACAGTTGTGCTGCTTAATATTTTTGTGGAAACCGATACATTTTTTCAGGATTCTTTGATGCATAGAAAGTTCAAAACATCTATTTGAAGCGGAAATGTTTTGCAATATTATAAATATGTCTTAATTGACCGTTTTGATTAATTTAATGCATTCTTGTTGAATAAAAAGTATGATTTCTTAAAAAAAACATTGTACTTATTACTGTTTACTGTATAAATAAATAAATATATATATATATTTGCTTTTTGTAGTTCCATTTATTGGAATGTTTGTGGATTCTATTAGTCCAAAAAAAGATAAAGGAAAAATCACAACATAAAAGTCCATTTATGTTTCATGATATTAACAATTTAAAAATGTAAGCCTTGTTTCCTGGGCACAGATAGTTGTGGACTGTATTTCAACAAAAATGATGATTCACCACTGGACAATCTGTGTACAGGGGACTTCCTGCTACTGGGCAGCATTCATATGAAGACTATCCAGTGTAGCACATTTGGCAGTGAGGTCATTATATAAGTTAACCAAATTAAAGCTGACATTCCTTTTATTTCCTCCGTTTTGCTTTCAGCCAGAGTTTTGCCTGGATTAGCTGGCATACCAACTGTTCCCTTACAGGGCAGTCCAGAATGCTTGTGTAACTTTAGTTTTGGGGCGAAGCATTGCGTAATTTATGAACACAAGGTAATAACTCACAGAGACTGACCACAGAGCTTAAGCGCTGCTGGATCACATGTGCGGGGCGGGGGGGCAAAAGAAACTCTGGCATATGCAAAGGTCACGCTGGATGCCAACTGCAACAGATGAGACAAGTGAAGGGCATTTCAAATCACTGCTGTATGTTTTTATATCAGAAAATGTTATTTGATGCTCTCGAGCTATCTAATAAACCTGAATTTGGCACAGATGTGGGAAGCTGAATTGCTTAGCATCCTGCGGAGGCTAATGTTCTCATGTGCACCTATTAGGTTACATTCACTCATGCGATATTTTACCCAGATGTGAAACATGACATGCTATTCATGCCAGCTATTCCTCACACAACAAATATAGACTTCCGCCAAAAAAAAAAAAACTGACTCTTTCCGTTCACTCATACACAGTGCTGGATAGTAACTGATTACATGTAATCTGGATTACGTTATCAGATTCCAAACAATAAGTGCTTGTAATTAGATTATATTACATTTTCAAGTACTCATAATCAGATTAAAGTTATTGATTGCATATTATTTACACAACAGCAGTAAATTATTCATAATATATTGATTTGCCTCAATTCTTCTTTTTTTTCTCTCATATTTTCCTTTCTAAAAAATCTTACTGCTGTATACGTTCAGAAAGTCTGGTGTAATGTAATGTTTAATGCAATTCATGATGTTAAAACAAAGAATTGAAAATATTTTCACATAAATTAGGTCAAAAGTAATCTAAAAGTAATCAAAAAGTAGTCAGAATACATTACCCTAATATGTAATCCAACAGATTGTTACTAACTACATTTGCCGTTATGTAACTTGTAATCAGTAATGGTAACTGTAAGCAGTATACAATCGTAATCGACAGTCTATCCACTGCACTGCTCATACATCTTAAAGAAAATTAACATTTTAATATCACTATTAAAATATTTGTTATTTATTTCCCTTTCTAGTATTATACACATTTAGAAAACCTAAGCAGCTGCATAGGAATGCATTAAATGCAACAAAGAATGGTTTTCAATTTTTTTAGGTGGTTACTAGGTTTTTGCTAAGTGGTTGCTAGGTTGTTCTGGTCTGTTGATAGACCATTGCTATGCAGTACTAAGTGTTCTGAATGGTTTGTAGATGTTGCTATGTGGTTGCTAGGGTGTTTTTTGTTGGACTAATAAGCCATTTCTATTCACTTAAGGTGTTCTGAAATTTTTAGAATATTGCTGTGTGGTTGCTAGGGTGTTGCCATGTAGTTGTTAAATTGGTAGTTGCTAGATTGTTTTGGGTGGTTAATATGCCATTGCAATGCAGTTGTTTTTAGCATGTTGCTATGTAGTTGCTAGGGTGTTGCTAGATTGTTTTGGTGGTTAATATGCCATTGCAATGCAGTTGTTTTTAGCATGTTGCTATGTAGTTGCTAGGGTGTTGCTAGATTGTTTTGGTGGTTAATATGCCATTGCAATGCAGTTGTTTTTAGCATGTTGCTATGTGGTTTCTAGGCTGATGCTATGTAGTTTCTTGATTGTTTTTGGTGGTTAATATGCCATTACAATGCAGTTGATTTTAGCATGTTGTTATGTGGTTGCTAAGGTGCTGATATGCTGTGTGGTTGCTAGGGTTTTGGCTTTGGTTCTGGGTTGTTATAGAACATTGCTATGCAGATTACTAAGTTGTTCAGTAAGTATTTTTAGTGTGTTGCTATGCACTTGCTATACTCTTGCTAAGTGGTTGCTAGGTTGTTCTGGGATGTTGATAGGCTATTGCTTTTTGCTGTTGCTTAGGTGTTTAGG